CCATAAATCTGAGGTGGGATACAAATGTAGTATCCATCGTGGCGACCGATTATACAAAAAAGGCATAAAGAAAAATGTAGGGAATAAGTACCCAAATGCGGGACTTTCTCAAAGACAAAATCTACCAATAAAATAAAAAATAAAAAAAGAATAAAAAAAATAGGAAGTATCGAAATAGAAGAAACTTGATACAAAAATGATGAAGGGCGTGTCATCAAAATTTCTCTTTTGAAAAAAATAAATCTGAAACAAAAGATGAAAACCAATATAATATATTTGCTAAAAACACTAAAAATAGATATACTTAATAATAATAATAATAAAATCCAGAAGCACAAAAGTGTAAAAGAACAAGACACAGTTGATAGATAATAAAAATAAAGAAAACAAATTATTAAAAACTATGGTGATTTCATGGTTACTATGGACGACAGGGGATTTCATCTTTACATTATTGTCCTAGCTTGTGATTTTTAAGAAAGTAAAACAACTTAAACTTCTTCTGATTATCCTTCACATTGTTCTGATTGATGCTTTTAGATTTTTAAAAATATATATTGAGATGACGGCCTCTCTAGAATATCTGTGAATATTTATTCGTTATATTGTTGCTCTATTTCAATTATATTTTTGAAATAACTACATTTTTCTAATTTGTTAAAAAAATTCACTAAGAGAGTGTTTATTATCTACCTTTCAAAAATTGCCCAATAGCATATCTGTTTTCTACCTTGTGTTACAATTTCTTTTTTTTTTTTGTCCTTTCTATTTATTTTGCAAGGTTATTGCCACGCAGATCTTACACATAGGATGCCAAGGATGCCACATCATATTTATGTTATGCCTTATGGTGCCTCATTGGGCACCATAGAATTCCTGGTAGTTTTTGTGCCAATAGACGAAGAATAACGGCCACTAAAACAGACATTAAAAGCATACCTACGTGAGACGAGCTACTCCATTTTACAAGATTGACTTCAGCTCCAAGGTCCTTAAGCCTTGTGGCGAAATTGAAGATAATTTGAAAGGGAGCAAGATCATCATCTTCGGAACATAGTATAAGGTAAGGAGCCCCCATGCTCTAACAGAAATACCAAATAACATTCACTCAATAGCCAAAAAAACAACGAGTTTGATAATCATTTTAGTAGTAAGTTCATTTTCAAGACTAGAAGCTGAAAATCACTTTTCTTTTCTTTTTCTCTTCTTTGATTTCTTCTTCAAAGGCATGAAAATGACTTCAATCTTGAGTTTTCAAATTACTTGCTTAATCAAAACAGAGACTTACTACAGTGGAGTAGAGAGTCTGCCAATACTCTGCACGTTCTGATTCGAATCTTCTCAGAAAGAGTGCATCTAAACTGGAAGATATGCCCTTTGCAATCCAAGTTGCCAGCCGTGGAGGGCGTGATATCTTAAGAACAGATGGGTGGAGAACAAAACGGGTGCCCAAGTCGCTGACGAAGTCAACTGGCGTCGAATCGAAAATGTGTCCCGAAACACAGTTCCTTATGAGCCGACAGTCATCCTACATGACAACCAAGTATAAGGCCGTTGCGCAAAAAAAATCGCTTTTGTAGTTATCCCTATTTGTCCGTGCGCGGGGACAGTTACCAAAACTATCCCTGAGGATTGGGTAAGAAAAAGTTCCAATATTAAAAAATTAAAATAAAAATTGCCTCCATAGTCGTTCCTGCTTTAAATTCAAGGTGTGACTATGATGGTATTTATTAATGTCAAATGCGCGCGTGTGTGTGTGTGTGTGTTTTTTTTTTTTTTTTTACATGAAATGTGGTGCTTTAGTATTAAAACATCTTTAGTTTTTTTTTTTCTGTTTTATTTATTCTTTCTAAAATACCAAAAATTAAAGGTGCATGGGTTATTGATATCATGCATATACATGTATATGTTACACATATTCAACAAAAAATGTGCAATTACATTCAACACATAGTATGCAAACTAACAGAAACTGATAAAGGGGGTGATGAGTACATATTTCATACCACATTTATTTGCTCTTGATCACACTTTCCTTCAATTATCTGCAAGCGAACGGAAGTTGTCACAGCACGCCAGATATTGAAATATTTGTCTATCGCTCCTAAAAAATGAAAACACGTGTACCTGAACAACCTTGTACATGCAAGCTTTAGGACCTCCAGAAAAAGATGCAAACACTACAGGGCAAGGCCTGAGTTTTAGCTCCTGCATAAAAGAATAAATGAAATCACTTACTTGGATTAAAAGATCGACATACAAAATAAGGATTGAAATATTTATAATACAATAGAAGAACTAATCATCTGGAATTCTATCCAAGTTTAAGCCATACAAAAGTGAAAATCTCAGGGATCTTCGAAATTATTTTAATACTAAACCAAATTACAATTTTGAACCTATGCTTATTCCTAAAAAAGCACGTAAATAAAATAGGTTCAAGGGACTAACTTGAACAACCTCGTCGACAATTTGTAGCGCCAATGACGCAGCTTTATCGGGAAAGAATCTGTAAACTCAAAATCGACATAATCGATCACTGTGAATTTTTCAACACATCAATTACAAGAATGAAGATGAAAAGCATCAGCATCAATCAGATACACATCACAATTCAAGACATACATTGAACTGTCAGCTGTCTTAGAAAAAAATAAATCAAGAAAAGCTACTTCATCAACATTAATATACCTTTGTCTTAACATAAAAGATGACCCAGTTAAAAACAAAACCTCATAAATGCCCCAGAACAAAGGCAACCCACATAAATAATCTCAAATTTCCCATAGTCAACAGCAGATATCAAAAAGAAAAATCAAAAATCAAGCTGAAAAAAAAAATAGTAATAAAAAAAGTAGGGGAAGAATTGAGCTCACAGATTGAGAAATTGGGAGTGGCAAATCAGCGAATTCCATCCAAGGGAGGCAAAGAGATCAACATAATTCTTTAAGTGTCGGTCCGCACTAGACATCCACGCAAACGCCACAACAATTCCCTCTATTTTTCCCCTTTCCTTTCTTCCCCAGTAATATCTTCCTCCAAATCCCCACATATTCTTCTTCTTCCTCTCTGTGAATCTTCTACCTTTCCCGAGAATAATAACAAAAATTTATTGAAGAATCTTGCGAAAATAAGGGCTTTTTCAGTGGAATTTATGGCACAGCACAGGGGTTTTGTTGGTGGGATTAGTTAAAAATGACAATGAAATTGTAAGGGCGAGTTTGTTTATAAAATAATTCCAGACAAAATAACTATTTTCACCTCTTTTTGAATTTCACAATAAAATTGTAAGGGCGAGTTTGTTTATAAAATAATTCAAGAGAAAATAGCTATTTTAACCTCATTTTAAAGTTCTCTTAAGTTTTTCACACCACCCAATAAAAAAATTAAGTTTTTCACCCCAAAAAATACGAAGAGATATGCAAAAACAAGGTTGTAAACCGGTCTGTAATCCAAGAACCAAGCCCCGGATGAGGAATCCGATGAAGTATACCATAGATAGACGACCGGTTTGAGCATGAGCGACAAAATTATGAGTTAAAGTATCGACGAATATGCAGAGATTCGATGTACGATTCGGTCAATCGCGGTCTGTCGCCCATTAAATAATTATTTTGTTAGGCGAATGAACTGCGACGATTAGTCGAAAAAATTATTCTACGACATACCAACGTCACATATTATTCTTAGAATTGGTACATAATAAGTTTTTGGGTTAAAATCTTTTTCACCCCATTATATATATTCTTTCTTTTACACAGCACCCCGTCAAATAACTTCTTTTACACCCTAAAATTCACGAAATGCTATGCGATATTACACTCGCATGTCCCAATGAACCAGCGCATATCCAATCGGCCGCATAATTTATGACTATGCGTAAACATTTCGCATTTTTTTAATCGCATATCCACATCAAATGCATAATTTACAAATGTGCGAACATTATTTGCATTTTTAATAATCGCATATACAAATCAAATGTAGTATAATTTACGTTGATTATGCGCCTTCTTTTCGCTGGGCTATATCAACCTTGCAAATTTATGACTACGAAAATATTTTGCATCTAATTCGCATAATTTGTTGAATACGCATTTTCTGGTAATTGCATATCCAAGTCAATCGCATAATTTACAAATATGCGAAAAAATTTCGCATATATCCTCCGATAATTGACAATTATGCGACATTTTTTCGCTCGCATATTTAAGAATCGCATAACCAAATCGAATAAAGCATAATGTTTTTGACGCTTATGCGCCATTTTTTCGCAGGGCCATATCGACCTGGCAATTTTACGACTATTCGGAATTCGTACGCAGATCTTTCGCATAAGTTGCGCACCTCATTAATTGACTGCTTTTTCACAGGTGAGGATTTGGTCACTGCATTTATCATGCAAACAAAAAAACAGTGATCTCTAACAATTTAACGTCTGCACCATTCATCTACTGCATTTTTCTGTTTCTTTTCTTTTTAGTTCTTTTTGTTGTTCACTTATTTGAATGACTAGCAACCGTGTTAGAGTATTGGTGCACTTTGGTGGTTCGTTTTGCGAGGGATCATATCTTAGTGGAGTGGCAGAGCTGTTGAGAATAAATTACGGCCAAAAAATAATTATTTAATGGGCGACAGACCGCGATTGACCGAATCGTAATTCGTACATCGAATCTCCGCATATTCGTCGCATACTTTAACTCATAATTTTCTCGCCCATGCTCATACCGGTCGTCTATCTATCGTATTGTTGTTCGTATATCTCTTCGTACTTTGTAGGGTGAAAAACTTAACTTTTTATTGGGCGGTGTGAAAAACTTAGCAGGACTTCAAAATGGGGTGAAAATAACAATTTCCTCTAAGTTTTTTTCGTATTTTTTTCATCTTTCAGTTATGCGAGGCGGTATGCGAATTGCCGCATATTGCTCGCATACCACCTTCGCACTTTTTCTCGAAAGTTTATTTTTTATTTCTTTCATCTTTATCTTTCATCGAAAGTTTATTTTTAAAATTTAAATTTTTGAATGGTTTAGAAACCGCTGGCAGTTGGAACGTTACGGCCGATTCCGAGGTGTCTTATCCGCTTTTCGAAACGCCTGGGCAGTAAAAGCGTGCACGTGAATCGTTTCATCCGTCTATATAAATCTTGTAATCTTCGATCCATATCATGCCACTTCTCTTACTACCCATCCGTCCCCCAGAACTCTTTGTTAATGGCCCTCCATTTTTTTCGTTTTCTTGTATATGAGAAGCAGTTCGCCGGAGATAAACCAGATTTACAAAAATTCTTTCTTTCGACCCGTGAGGCAATTCTTTAAGATTACTGTGTCCGAAATTAGAACTCCTAACCTTCCGAATGCGTCGGAGGAAAAAATTCAACGAGCAGAAATTCCGCTATCCAACTTCTTAATGTGGCCCCGGCAGGAAACATATATGCCGAGACAGCGACGATGAAGATCAAACCTCCGGGCCCGGGTATTGTCGGATCAAGTGTTAGAAGGTTGAAGGTAGAAACGACGCGCGTCGGCGGCTGGGGCGTAACGGCCCGACCCTCTGTCAGAGGCAATGCTGGCCTCAACCTCTCGAGGTTGTGGTCGGCCAGGTTTTCTTAACAGAGGAAGGTGTTTGGTCGACGGGGATTTCTTTCCGGAACCCGTCAGAGCACATCGGTTCAGAGCGTGGTGGTCGGGGTCGATCTCATGCTGGAGTTCTACATGGAACTCCACAAACAAGCTCCACCTACAGCTCCTCTTTCTGGAGTCTGAGTGTTGTGGTAGCTCGTCGGCTCCCTCGTCCTAGCTTTTGTTAGGCTGGTACTTCGATTCTTTTTTAAACTTGTAATCGGCTGGGGTTGAAGCGACTGTAAAAGCAGTAGTGTATAGATTTCTGTTCGATCTTTTATTCTGCGAAATACAAACTTCGCATATTATTCGCCTAGTTGGTGGTGCATAATAAGTAAAAAAATATATTTTTAGAAATTTTCTATTCTGTGACACACATTGCGAAACACTCGTGTAGTATAAATGAAGAATAATTAATTTTTTTTTAATTTCTTTTTGGAAATTTTCTATTCTGCGAAATACAAACGTCGCGTATTATTTGCCTAGTTGTTGCATAATAATTTTTTTTGTGGAACTTAATTTTTTGAAAATTCTTTTTTAGGCGAAATGAACCTAAGACTATTAGTCGAAAATATTATGCACAACAAACGCATAACACGTAGTATAATCGAATAATTTATATAAACAAAAATTGTTTTTGAAATTTTCTATTCTGCGAAATACAAACGTCGCATATTTAAGTTTTTTTTTTTTTTTGTAGAATTTAATTTTTTGAAAATTTAACAGTTTAGGCTAATGAACCTACGACAATTCGTTGGAACAATTTCGCATACAAGCCGCACAACATTCGTAGTATAATCGAATAATTTATCTAAACAAAAATTGTTTTTGGAAATTTTCTATTCTGCGACACACATAATTGCGATAAATAAACGTCGCATAATTCATTGCAGGTCTACCGGAGAATATTCGCATACCCACTTTTTGTATAAAACAATTATTAAACAATTATTTAAAATATTTTGTGTTCGAAATGGTCTGATAAATACGATTCTTTATGCGACCGTCTCACGACGGAAATGCGTGATACGGAAGTGAGGTTCAACATCGGCAAGTCTAGTGAGAGTGAAGGACTAAAATGCAAAAGGTGCGCATCGGCCCTTGATGCGCACGAATGGGCGAGCAAAATGCGCATGCAGGCCGTGCGGGGCATAC